GAGACAGGAGGAAGGCGCAGAAGGAAATGAGTTATGGCGTCTTCTCGAGGAAGAATGACGAGGAAGGGGGGGAGGAGAATGAGGCGGAGGAGGAGGAGGAGGTTGAGGAGGCAAGGGGGAACGGCGAGGAAGGTGGGAGGAGGAAGGATGAGGGGATGGAGGAGGAGGAGGACGAGGAGGAGGTGGAGGAGAAGGAGGAGAAGGAGAAGGAGGAGGAGAAGGAGGAGGAGAGGCAGGGGGGAGGGGAAGCGGGAGGGGAAGCGGGAGGGGAAGCGGGAGGGGAAGCGAGGGGAAGGGGAAGGCGGGAGGGGAGGGAGAAATTGAGTTGTGGCGCGCATCGCAAAATGCTCGCGTCTACCTCCGCTAGGTTGATACTACGCTTTGCGGTGCTCTTCTGCGCCATGCCGCGCCGTGCTCTACAATGCATCGCGTACTCTTTCAGAATCATTGCCCTGCTCGACATCCGACTGAGCGAGTAGAGAGGGGATCTGCGCCATGGTAAGGGATGGGAGGGAGGGGTAGGATGTCAGATATGACGCGAGCGCACCTAGCTTGCCCCCTCCCCCTCCCCCCCCCCCTTCCTCCTCCTCTCCTCCTCCTCGGCCTCCTCCTCGGCCTCCTCCTCCTCCTCCTCGGCCTTCCTCCTCCCTCCTCCTCCCTCCTCCTCCTCCTCCTCCCTCCTCCTCCTCCTCCTCTCTCCTCCTCCTCCCCTCCCTCCTCCTCCTCCTCCTCCTCCTCCTCCTCCTCCTCTCCTCCCCCCCCCGTCCTCCCCTCCCCCCTCCCTCCCCTCCCCCTCCCCCTCCGCCATATATGTGAATGTATGTGTGTGCGTTTATGTATATGCACATATTACCAGATCTCTACATCATATATTTCCATAGCTTCATATTTCCATGTCGATATCAGCCGCCCGCCGGGGCACGAGGGCGTCGGTTCCCAGGCGGCGGATGTGGAGAAATCCCCACCGCGCACGTTTGCTGGCCCTGGCGCCCGACGCCTACCCCTGGAGGCCGAAATCAAGGAGGAACGCCCTGCTTGAAGAAATCACCTCGTCGGAGATTTGGGGACGGGAGCGTGCGCGTCGCGAGGATGCACAGAAGCTATATTCCTCCTCATTCTTGTTCTTGTCCCCATCCTCCTCCGCCTGCTGCTCCTCCTCCACCTCCTCCTCCTCCTCCTCCTCTTGGTTTCGTCGACCAGGCGGCGGCGGCGGCGGCGCTAGCTTTGAATCGGGCCTCTCCATCTACAGGAGGACTATTCAGAAACAGTGTAATCCGGGGATGATTGTTGGATTATTCACCGACCATTTTTGAATATTTGTTGGACTTTTATGTGTCCACATTCCGCCTGTAGGGATATGCGCGACCTGATGCTAGCTCTGGGCCCCCCCTCGAGCGCAACGGCCGGCGCAGCCGCGCTGTCCCGCGCAGGGCCCGGGCAAGGAGGTATGCGAGGACTTCGCGGTCGAGAAGGCCAGGAGGAGGAGGAAGTAAGAGGAGCAGCAGGAGCAGAAACAGGAGCAAGAGCCGGAACAGGAGCAGGAGCAGCAGCAGCAGCAGCAGCAGCAGCAACAGCAGGAACAGGAACAGGAGGAGCAGGAGGAACAGGAGGAGGAGGAGGGGCAGGACGACGAGGGAGAGGGAGGAGGACGGGGAGGAGGAGGAAGAGGAGGAGGAGGAGCAGGAGGAGCAGGAGGAGGAAAAGGAGGAGGAGGAGGAGGAGGAGGAGGAGGAGGAGGAAGGAGGAAAAGGTGGAGAAGGAGGAGGAGGAGAAGCAGGAGCAGGAGCAGCAGCAGGAACAGGAGGAGGGGGAGGAGGAGCAGGAGGAGGAGGAGGAGCAGGAGGACGTCCGTAGCCATTTTGGCTCATGCCTTTCCGTAGCCCCCCCCCTCCTGGACCCTGCCCCTCGGCGTACCCTGCGACCCCAGATTGACGGGGCAACGCGGCGGGCGTGAGGGACGGGGGGGAGGGGGGTTATTGGCTCACGGAGGATGGCACGGGAGGGGTCGCCGCCGCTTGGCGATCCCGGTTCGCACTGGCGTGCGCGGACGCGGGCCGAGCGCACCGCCGCGCGACGGCGAGCCGAGGCCGCCGCGGATGCCGGCGTCGCTGCGGCGCTCGCGCGGGCTGCGGAGCTGGAGGCCGCCCTGGACATGCTGGTCGGCGTGCACGGCGTGGCCGACAGAGTTCAGGCCATCATCCCTGCCCTCGCCGCTCTCGTTCAAGGAGCGGAGCCGCCTTGGCTCGACCGGTTGCGGAGGAACGTCGCGCTCCCTTCCGCCGCCGATGGAGTGCCGTCGCTGGTGCTCGCGGATGCCGCCGCCTTGCGTGCTGCTGAGCGCGGGCCGCGCTTGGGCCCTGGGAAGCTGGCTGCCCCTGCCAGGCGTTCGACGAGGAGGAGGAGGGCGCGCCGCGGTTCTGTTGGTTCGCAGTCCTCGGCGGCGACTTTTTGTTCGCTCTCGGAGGCTTATGATCTCGTCCCTGGTGCGGGCAGCTGGGAGAGGCTGGACGCCGCAGGCGTCATATGCACGTGCGGTGCTACAGTCTTCTCGTCCTGCCGTGCGGACGTGCCGCAGCCATGTTAGAATTGGGAGGCGCTGCTCGAGCCCAACGTCATCAGGCACGACGTCGGGGTCAGCACGTGCGTGAAGAGCGAGATGCAGGAGACTAAGCTGGATCCCATCTTTGTCTCGGAGGCACCGCCGCTCGTGGAGGTGGCCCCGTTCGTGCCGCTAGAGCAGCTGCACTCCGAGCTGTACGTGCTGGGAGTCGCCGCTTGGGCGCGGGAGAGAGCGGGGAGATGTGATCAGCCGTTTGTTCGTCGTCGCCAACGGCTCGATCGCCTCGTTTGGCACCCAGTTGACCTCCCCCCTGACCCTGGCGAAGGGCGCCTCTTTGGCTGAGGGTACCTGCTACGAGTGGCTGGAACATTTTTTTGAGTCGTGCAGCGGATATACTGCGGCACTGTGCATCTGTTATTCACGCAGGTCTCGGTGGCTTTGGCATTATTTTTTCGTGGGATTGGGGCTTGCTAGTGCGTGATGTGCTGATTGTGGCTTCCTGGCGTATTTTTTGTTGTATGTGGCTTACTGGCATGCGGGCATTCAGCAGCTGACCTACACGATCGAGCTCTCGGTGTCTGTCGTGAAGCGTGGGTGCACCCTGCTTACCTTTTTGAGGTTCGCTGCACGGTCGCTGCCTCTTCATCTGCGCCTCTGGGATGTGGTGGTAGTCAGTCGGCGGAGGGCTTGTCGTACACTTGGATGGTCTCCTACCTGGTCTTCGGCATGCCCTTCTTCGAATTCGTCAGGGGCCCGTGCGTTGCTTTTTTATTTTTTTGTAAAAAAAGAGCAGGAGGACGAGGGAGGAGGAGGAGGAGGAGCAGGAGGAGGAGGAGGAGGAGGAGGACCAGTGTTAACCCGAGAGTCGTCAGCGATGTTGGAAGTAACCCTCCCTCCAAGCTCCCTCTTCATAGGCCCCTACAACGGTTCATTTCCATTGAGGGAGCTGCCTCGTTGGAAGACAACCGTTTGAAGATCCTGAGGCGTGCCAAAACATTGTTTTCGGGATTTCAACGCCACGTGTCAACCTGAGTGCTGCGTGTTGGCGATCCGGAATATTGCCATAACGCTATGTCCTTGGATTTCAACGCGAATCAACATAATTGTTGCACCCACATAATCCAAAATCCGTCCCAAACGCCTGTTTTGGTACGCTGATCATCTGAATCCGCGTAACCCTTGGACATGTTTAGATCGAACGTACGCGGCGCTAAGGCGAGAGCCACATTTTGAAAACGACCCGCCCTTAATCCGCGAAGCCCGTTGTAAATGTTGAAGGTGAATGTGCGCGGTGCTAATGCGCGAGCCATATTTTGAAAACGACCCGCCCTTGATCCGTAAAACTCTCGCACATGTTTGAAACGAACCTGCGCAGCGCTCAGGCGAGAGCCACATTTTGAAAACCACCCGCCCTCAATCCGTGAAGCTCCTGCAAGTGGTTAACAGGATGTGCGCGGCGCGAATGTGAGAGCCACATTTTGAAAACGACCCGCTCTCGATCCGCGAAGCTCTTGCACATGTTTAAAACGAATGTGGGCGTCGCCAAGGCGAGAGCCACATGTTTATAAACACAAACACCCGCCTTCCATATGTTACTATGTTGCCATTCTTTAAGCATCCGAGTCAGAAGTGGTGAGGAGGTCTCAGGGGAAACGCCCGGCCCACCATAAACATTGGCCCCACGTTGCGACAGGGAAAAGTTATCTATACGGAGGAGGAATGGAGGAGGAGGAGGAGGAAGAGGAGGAGGAGGAGGAGTGGAGGAGGAGGAGGAGAGAGGAGGAGGAGGAGGAGGAGGAGGAGGGGAGGAGGAGGAGGAGGAGGAGGAGGAGGAGGAAGGAGGAGGAGAGGAGGAGGAGGAGGAGGAGGGGGCGGCGCGGCGGCGGCGGCGGCGGCGGCGCGGAGGAGGAGGAGGAGAGGAGGAGGAGGGGGGAGGAGGAGGGGGGAGGACGAAGAGGAGGAGGAGGAGGAGGAGGAGGGGAGGAGGAGGAGAGGAGGAGGAGAAGGAAGCGGAGAGGAGGAGAAGGAAGCGGAGGCGGAGGCGGGCGGAGGAGGAGGAGGAGGAGGAGGAGGAGGAGGAGAGGAGCAGGAGCAGGAACAGGAGCAGGAGCAGGAGGAGGAGCAGGAGGAGAGGAGGAGGAGGGCGAGGGGAGGAGGGGGGGAGGAGGGGAGGCGGAGGAGGAAGGCGAGGAGGAGGGGGAGCAGGAGGAGGAGGGGGGAGGAGGAGGAGGAGGAGGAGGAGGAGGAGGAGGAGGAGGAGGAAGATGAGGAGGAGGAGGAGGAGGAGTTGGAGGAGAAGGAGGAGGAGACCTTGATGCTCATGGATGGCCAACGTCAAAACAGGAGGCGGAGGAGGAGGAGGAGGAAACGGACAAGGAAGAGGAAGAGGAGGAGGAGCAGGAATAGGAGGATCAGTGTAAGCCCAAGACCCATCGAAGAT